GAGTACCCTACCAACAGCATCACCAAGGTTGTGGCCTGCTCTGACATACGTCATGGGCGTGCCAGAAGCAGCCGAGCGCACTGCTGCGGGACAAGGTGTTGCAATTTTACATCGGCCTAGAGTCACCATGCGCAGGAGGGTCATTAAAACCAGAGGCCGATTAAATCCCGAGGAGCACTCTGGGATGGTGTGCGGCCTCGCATGCCTAAACTGTCCTTGCAACTACGCGGGACAGACTGAACGCATGTTCGCATCGTGCATTTATGAACATAAGCTTGCTGTGCGATGAGACGACGAATTATCACAAATGACAGTCTCCGCACCTAAGAAACGTGTCAGAAGTTCAGCCTCGCAACCGCCAAAGTAACCGCCCACGTCGAAAGCAAGATAAGCCGAAAATTGGTCGAAGTCTGGGCCTTGAATAAGGACTCAGTCGATCGATCTGGCGCCGACGTACAGCCACCTCCAATCTTGAGCTAGCGATCGATGATTGGCTGGTACTCCCTACAACCGTCGCTCGTTCTTTTGCTGGTGCTGCTGCTGCTAATACTTTTGAAGATGGACGCCTGCACGAATTCGAAAGCTCCGTACAATGGGCAAATTGTACCAGTGTTCGAACAGTCTTATCTTCCTTAACTCATACATACACCTGGAGGTTAAACATTTACCTCCAAAATTACCAGAGATTATCCTACTCGCACTTTATACGACTTCGATCATGCCGGCATCAGCATCTGCAGCAGACCTGGTGAATCCGGTGCGCTTTCTGCTCCAACAGTGAAGATTTACTACCAAAAATAGTGAAACCCACTTCATGTGGTCGTATCGAGAGAGGCCTTGAACTGACCTTCGGTATCGGATCTATATCAGCAGCTCTGTTCTCCCTCGGACCAGGTATCGAAGGGAATGTCCGCATTACCCCTGACAGTCTTGCTAGGATGCCCTCGCGGTTTTCTCGCAGTGATTGCTGACTGGCTCATCCAGAAGGAAGTCAGAAGACCATAGTAAAAAACCCACTTTTACTTCATTTTCCATCCCCACGGTCCGGCACTCGATGACGACAGTTCGACCGTCGCATCCGACGATGTCCGCCGTGTGCTCCACGGTAAGATTAAGCAGGCACGGTGACTCGCGTGTGAATTAGTTTATAGCGAGTGTAGACTCGCGCAACATCTACT